AAGAATGCCATTAAAAGAGATCCAAGAAAAATTGTAAGAGAAAAAAAAAAGATGTAAACTATTAAAAACATTAACTAAAGACATGAAGGCAACCAAACTACCACCTTTAAGTAAACATCACAAAGAAAAAATGTAGGCAAAGAGTGTGGGCAAAGAAAAAGGATGTCTCAATAGTAATTTTGAGTGATAGAGTTATATTGGATGAACCTGATAGTTGGACTAGAAGTTGGGCCCTTCTTGATTCATATATTGTTTTTTTGTTTTTGTTTTTTTTTGTTTTGTTTTTTTTACAGCTTAGCCTTTTGCAGGTTATTTAAAGCCAGAAAATACTTTTAGACTGTAAGAATTTTTTGGCAATAATAATGATTTACTGATACAAGGTCTACTAACTAACCAATAGCTGGGGGGAAGAAGAAATGGATTCACACTTTTCCCCAATGATATTTGTGCATAAGGGAATGTAATGAATTGGAATTTGGTTCTTTGATTTCCAATTCTAAGAGTTATTCATTACAACACCCAAACATCCAAGCTTAGAGTTCTTGGTCGTTCTTCATGAAAAGTCAACCAACAAGCGGACAATGTAGAGTTGAAGTAATGCTTTGAGCTTTAAAATTTAAAAATTTAAAATCAAAGTTGATGGTGATGTCAAGATAAATGAAGTTCTTGGACAAGACAGTTTTTTTTTTGAGTGGTACAAGTCATAGTAAAAGCAACTTTAAACTGCTCCTCCACATTCTATAAAGATGATTATTATCCACCAAACTAATAAAATGGATGCCAGTCCCTTTACATACTAATCTAACAGAAAACTTTTGGTCCGTCATTAAAGTAGATGCCTATAAGAATGGAAAACAATATTCAATTAAAGAGAATCTCTGGGAAGAAATAAAAACAGCTGCAACTAATGTGAAGTTAACAAAAAGTAGAAAAGTGAACAAAATCAACAAATAAAAGACTAATGAAGATTATAGAATGTCAAGGAGACTATATTAACATGAAAGTCTATTTCAGTATATGAGATTTTATGCTATCAAATGTCTTTTTGTGATGTGTATCTTCTGGATTAATGGATATATTCTATTGTAACCTAAAAAAGGTTACTGAATGTGGAATAACAAAAATGGAGGTTGGAAATGAAATGGTAATCTTTATAACATCAACAAAATATAATACATGCCAGCAGTATAAAGTAGGTAAACTAGTGGTGGACTACTTAGACAGCATATTAACCCCCACTTACAATAGTGCCCAACATATCAATGAGGATTGGGATATACCCATTAGTGTTCATAGGTACAGTATATAACATATTCATAAATAAAAATAAATTCTGCATTTAGTTTATTTGTATAATGAAACCTGATATGTCCAAAACAAATTATCAATATTTTTAATAATTAATGATATTAAAATGTAAAACTAACATGGTATATTACTCATATGCTAAAATTTTACAAAGATTTGCTGCTTAGTATCTACTATATTGTGAAAATATTGATATGTGCAATAAAATCTGAGTGTCTGTATCACATAAGTGCACATTGGGATTAACACCCAGCGGTGAAAGTGTTTCCTGCTTAAACGCAATCTTCAGGTTATCCATTCAAATTGTTTTTAAGCATGAAACAGACTGTTGTAGCCAAGTGTTGACTACAGTGTCCACTTTCATATTTACATACACTATCCCTGATATTGAGCACTTTATAGCATACCTTAAAACTATATTTTATCATAAAATGAAATAAAAAGTTGAAAAGACTTATCTTCCAACTTAAAGCTTTACAGACACGTCACTCATCAGGGTCAGATAAATCTGTTAACAGGAATCATATTTATATTAAAAAAAAATAGTAATCATTGCTTCCAAACAAATTTGACTAAAAACATAATGTGGCATTTAAATGTCATTTATTTATTAACTGCTATTGTTCTTTTTTTTTCTTTTTTTTTTTGTTAATTTTGGGCATTTTATTTACAAAGATTTGCTAAATTGTACTAAACTTCAGTAATTTACTACCTGATGTATCTTGTCAGCCATTAATGTTCTGTTTTTACATAAAATTCAATCCCAAAAATGGTAGAAAAATTCACCATGACTTCAGGCTTAAAATTATGATGTAATCTTCAGACAGTTTAGGACATGTACTAACACTCAGAGAGATTATGTACCACCTTAAACATATCCATTAGTGACAGATATATATATCTTCCTAATGCTTATGAAAAAGAAAACAAATGTAATAAACCTTAATGAGTTTTCTTTTTTTTATTAAAACTTATTCCTCTTCAAAAATGTTTCCACTGCCATCAGTTAAAAGGGAAAGCTGTGGTTGTTGAATATGGTTAAAAAAATAAATAACAAATAAATCAGGGACTGTGGCTCAAACGTGTACCAAGCAAAAATTAATATATAGAAAATTTTTTAAAAGGATTTTTTTTTTTTCATCTGCCGTTATTTTTTTTATTACTATAAACATTAATTTTTGCTTGGTACACATGTTTGAGCCACTGTCCCAGATTTATTATTTTTTTTAACCGTATTCAACACCCACAGCTTTTTCCATTTCTTTTTAACATATATATATATATATATATATATATATTTTATATATATGAGAGAGAGAGGGAGGGGGGATAATTTGGGGAGGAAATATGTATGATGAAGTGGGAAAAGTTTTCATAGGATACATTTTGTCTCTGAGGACTTCAAGGTTCTTGTGTTTCACCATTCTTGGCAGATCTTCCGTTATCACGATGTGAGATATTTAATAGGAATGATGGAAACAAACAAAAAAAAAAAATGAATCTCGATGAAATTGGCTAGATTATGTCCAAAATATAGATAAAAAAATTTTTTTTTTCTAAATTTAAAAATTCCCAGCATCTCATTCATGCACACATATTAATGTAAACAAAGCCAGGAACAAAACGCATCACACAAAAACTTTTGTCATATATATATATATATATATATATATATATATATATATATATATATCTCAAATCACTTAATTTTTTTTTTATTCAGTTTAATCTCTCAGCTTTTGTTTCTTTTTGTTTTTATTGATAAACTGTAAAAACAAAATCAACCTTTTTGAGGTTATTTAAAGCTGAAACATTTTTGCATTGTAAGAATTTTTTTCTTTTTTGGGAGGGGGGTGGAATATAATGATTTTCTGATACAAGTCTTACTCAACCTTTGATTGACTTTTTTTTTTTTTACAGCTTATCACCCCTTTGCAGGTTATTAAAAGCCAGAAAATATTTTTAGATTATAATTTTTTTTTTTTTTTTTTTTGAAATATTGCTTTTAGTGATACAAGCCTTACTCAACCTTTGATTGACTTATATATATATTTTTTTTTTTTTTTTTTTTTTTACAGCTTATCACCCCTTTGCAGGTTATTAAAAGCCAAAAAATATTTTTAGATTATAATTTTTTTTTTTTTTAAATATTGCTTTTAGTGATACAAGTCTTACTTATAAGCCCATAGCTGGGTGGAGGATTCATACCTTTCCCAAGGGTATTTGCATGTAAGTGAATATAACAAATCCAACTGGAATTGGAACTTGGCTCCCTGATTAACAATTTCAAGCTGTTACCCATTGCACCACACACACACACACACACACATTCAAGCTTACACACCTAGTATTCCCAAGCTGTCACTCATCTAGGTATTGACCAGAATCAATGTTATTTAACTTTGGTGATCATAAGCCTTTTGTCTATCTATACCATATCAGATCTTATTATCAAGTCAATGTCTTCACAATAAAACAGGTGACTGATGATAAAACTTTATAACTACAATTAGGATCAAGATGATAAAATAGAAAAATACACAGGACATATGGTTAACTTATATCCACACTGAGGAATGATAAGAAAATAGGTTTCATATAGATATAATCTTATAAGCATATATAAGGCACAGTAAAAAAAATAAAAATAAAGAGAAGTGACTGAAGATAAATAGTACAACTGAATTTAAATTAATTATGATGAAAGAAAGTTTAAACTAATCAACTTGAGAAATGTATGAACTCTTTGGTACCTAATGTCATTCTGAATTTGTTCTTTTGTCAATGTTTTTACACATAATCCTACGACTTCCCTATGGTTGGTCAGAACTCCATTGATAAACCCTTTCCACACCGTTTGGTCCTGCTCCCAGATCCCCAACATCCAACCCAAAGTCTTGAAGAAAGTCAATTTTTGTGAGAGGACACTTCCAGAAGGATGCCATAGAAGTAAGGATGAGACAATTTCTCTGTCGGTTCGGTAGCAGTGGATGGCAAACAGCAATCGTTTTTGTTTGAGCTTAAGAGGGATGAGTCTCAGCTCTCCTAAACTGTGTTGCATGATTTATACATACATGATAACTTCTCCCCCCCCACTAATGCTTACTCTATACAAGGCCCAAGAGCTACTCAAGGTGGTTGTGGAAGCAATAAGAGTTAGAGGCACAGTTTAGGTAAATATGTGAGAAAAGTAACAGTTAACCCCTAGATTTGAAAAGGTTAAGATTGTAGTGGTCAAGGAAGTAACATGATTTTTGAAAAGTAAATTCTAGCATTGAATTCTTTCTTAAAAGATATCTATTCTTTAGATTGTAGTATTTATGAAGAAAAAAAAAACTTTAGAAATCCATATAAATTAAAATTTGGCAAAATGAACAAATTAGATACATTCAAATTATAGCAGACATTATTAATCAAGTATAATTTCTATATGAATTTTCTGAAATGAAGAATTCTCTTAATTATACACTGCATTCTCTGAATATTCTTTTTATATCTTTTTTGAATTGTTGGATCTGAAATTTTATATAGAAGCTCTTTTACTTAAAGGTTTCAATGGATCTGTAGGGTTTGTGAATGAAAATACTTTAAAAATCCATATAAATTAAAATTTAGTAAAAGGACCAAATTAAACAGATTAATGTCTTTATCGAAAATTATTAACAACATACAATATCCCTACCGAATGGGGCTTACAGCCACATCACGTTAAAAACATCATTTCCCATATGATCACTGAAATTAAGCAACGTTGAGCCTGGTCAGTACCTAGATAGGTGACAGCTTGGGAATACCAAGTGCTGTAAGATTGGAATGCTAGTAGTATAATAGATAATGGCACGGAATTGTTAATTGTAGAGCCAAGTTCCAATACCAGTTGAGTTTGTTATATTCACTTACCTGCAAATACTCTTTGAAAAGTTATGAGTTCACCTCTTCTTCCTCCAGGTATGGGTTAATTAGTAAAACTTGTATCACTAAAACCATTATTATCTCAAAAAAAAAAAAATAAATAAATAAATAAAAAATAAAGTTGCATACAAAATATTCATATTTCAGCATTAAATAACAAAGGCTGATTTGCTGTTAAACAAAAACCAATCAACCAACTGAAAATAAAATTTAATTAACTTATGATTTACAGAGAAATATAAAAAAAGGTACACAGTATTTAAACCCTCAAATTATTAATCTGCAAACTTTCAGCATGTATATTTTATTAGTTATTAGAAATATACTTTTCAAGTAACACACTTTCAAATGGAGCCAAGCACTTTTCTGTTAAATATTCCCGTACATTTCATGTTTACAATTACATCCATGTGCCAGGTATAAATAAAGGACAATGTATTAAATAGTCAGAGTCCATGCAGTCCACATGATAATACAAGTAGCAACTAGATTCAAAGTCATTAAGAAAAGTTTTCTTAATGACTTGCTTATTCCTTGTTATACAAAAACTGTCTTCAGAAGAAGCAGGACTATATATATATATATATATATATATATATATATAAAAAAAAAAAAAAAAAAAAAAGAGAAAAAACAATTTTTGTAAAACACCTCAACAATATCTGGAATATAAAAATTTTAGATTTACACTATATCTTTATTTCCGTTGAGGACAAGTTGAATATTTTGACAAGGCCAAATATTCACCGCCTCAACCATCCACAAGCTCACTATAATCGTTTTATGAAGGTGAGATAAGTAAAAGTTACAAATATTTAAAAGCTGTAAAAGAGTTCAAAGAATGAGCAAACTGCAGCACATACGCACTGATTTTCTCATGACAGATAATCAAGAACCTTGTTTAACCTGGATGAATTTATGAGCAAGCATTTGAATTTCACACAATTGCTAGACCAATTCACTGGACAACCACTGGGCACAATCATTAAATTATTTACACTACTCCATGATGATGTAGATATGTGATAAATGCATAAAAAGTGGGTCAAAAGGTGTATTATTGAATTTTCATTATAAAACTTCCGTTGGTCTGGCAAAATGGATATCATCTGGAACCAACAGTGATAGAAAATCATTAGTGTATTAGTATTGATAATAATTTTTTTGTCTGTTACCAAATATTTAAATGATTTGTCATGCAAACTGTTTTTGTAGCTAAACAATTTTCAATGAAGTCTACTACATCAATTTTATATTTTTTATACAAAGTGTAGAAAATGTGTATACAAAAGGTATAGGTAGAACTTATCAAATCAAAAAACTTAAGATAATCATCTTGAAAATATGATCTTAAAATTTGAAGAAAAAAAAAAAAAAAAAAACTTCTTTAACCTGTAAGTTTTATTCTAAAGCAAAATTACTTGAGATTTTAAGTGTTTTTTTTTTCTCCTTGCCAGACACTTCTTAATAGAAGTAACCAAATGATACCTGCTTATATGTACATCTGAGAAACATTAAGTATCTCCATTAAAACAGTGTATCCCACTCCTCTCATCTAACACAGAGGGTTGGCAAAATATGGCCCATGGGCCAAATCTGGTTTGTAACCTCATTTCATTCAGCCCACTGACTTTACTGCATATAAAAATTCTTCAGGTTTCTTATTTATCTTCAAATTTAGGAAACTAATTTAATTTTTATGGAAACTTTTTTTCTATGTAGTTTTAAATTCTTTGAATAAAACTGACCTGTTTTTTTTTTTTTTTTTTTCAAGAATTTTCTCATTTTTGTGGAAAAATTTTTTTTTATAGAAATGAGTGAATTGGTTTAAAATGGGTGATCTATTTACAATGTATACATAATACAAAATTAAAATTGTCCATCTTTCTGACACCTGATATTAATTTACAATGTAAATATATTTGTGAATATTGTGACCCTTACTTTGTGGTTACGTATACACAAATATATTGGTGAAAGTATGTGCTGATAATATTTTTTGTGTTTTTTAGCTTATAGGCTTTTTTTTTGAGTTTTGGGGTCTTTTTATATTTTACAGGCTTTTTTTTTTTTTTTTTTTTTGGTTTCTTTGGATTTTTTTTTAGTTGATAGTTTTATTTTTCAGTTAACAAGTTTATTGGCTTTTTTTTTAGTTTAAAATGTTATTTTTTTTTTTAGTTTACAAGTCTTTTTGTATTGTTTCTTTTTGTATTGTTTCTTTTTATTTTAAGAGGTTTTTCGTGCATTTTTCTTTTATTTTAGTCTTTTTTAGTTTTTGTTAATTAATACTACCTCTTGAGTAGACAACTTAAAAAACCATTATGCAGCATAAAAATTTACATCGTAAATTGAACATCAAGTATAAGAAGGAAGGATACAAGTTGGGTCTAGTTTGGCATTATTTTCTACATTGTAAATCTGCTTGAGAGACAGACGAGGTACAACAATTAAGCTTTTTATTTAATTTTTCTTGTGTTCAAACATGTGTTTTCTTTTCTGGACACAGAGAATGTAGAAATTATCCAAATGTTATACAATTCTGAGCGCTTTCGGCTATACTTTTAGCCATTATCAAGGATGACATTTGGATAGTTTCTACACATTCTGTGTCCAAAAAAGAAAACACTTGTTATATTGTTTTTATAAAAAAAAGCACAGAGAAGCTACATTATAGTGGTGGGGAAAGAGGCTGAAACAGAGATGCCAGGTCAGGACCAATAACATTGGAGATTCTTTGAATTTTATCAAGAATCTCTAAACATACAGCAACAGCACCAAACCAGATGTAGCAGAAATATTCAAAGCAAGGATGAATAATAGATATGCAAGATAAGTTCCAGCAAGAAAAATTATCTAGCACAATATAGTGAACCAGTCTTAGCAATTAATTCAATATACTCTTTCTACTTTATGTCAGCTGTAAACATTAGTTCAAAAAGTTGCAATAAGTCATTCGCCCGGAGGTTAGCATCAGCCATACTGATAGAAAGTAAACTAACCAACTGGTAGAAGTAACGTTATCACAAAATATGAAAAAAAATGGTAATATTCAATAGATCGTAACTTTGAAATCATTGTAGATATTGAAAAAAAAAAGAAAAAAAAAAAAAGGTACTGAAAGACAACATTTGACTTTGCAATAGGGTATGAATATAGCTCTATTGACAAGCTTCAAATTTGGTCTATGGCCCCAGTTGAACCACTGTGTTCTGGGAAAAAAATGTTTCTCTTTGAAAATTCCAGAAAGTTACTAATGACAACAAGCACCTGAAGAAGGCTACAGGGTACAATATAATACCCAAAACATTGGGACTATAACAACCAATGATACTAGAAAGAGCATATTAGTGTATAATAGTCAAATACATTTTTTATGAGAAAAATCATGCTCAGTTGTTACTTGTAAACAGTAAATGCTTATGGAAATTAAGATTCTCAGCTAACTTAATGACTCATCTTAACAAGTTTAATGTTCAAGGTGATCCTCAACTGAGATGTAACATACTTTACAGTAAAAAAGCTTTTTCAACACAAAATCTTCTTTTACTTCTAAAATATTGTTAAATAACTAACCACTTTTACTGTTGTCAAAAATATAACCAAGATGAAATATCTATTGTTCTCTAAAACTTGCTCAAAACATTGATATAAGTATCGTTTAGCAAGGTGTGGATGTCTTCTAATGGTTGTGAGTTCAATACCTAGATCCGATAGTTTAGCAGAAACAGACAAGAACCTGGCATTGTGAGGTTAAAAATAACAATAATCAACACATAAGATATCGCATAGCCAATCTGATGACGGCCATAGGGAACTTGGCTAAAACTTTATGTCTATAAGAACATCTATAATAATGAAAGATGAAAACAATGGTTCAAGCAAGTCAAAAGTACTTTCGGACTAGTTTTCAGTTTCAACACAACTTTTCTGACGTGGGTGAAAAATGCAAAAGTCTTTCAAAGCCCACTTGAGGAATTCTATCAGACCTTCAACTGGAATTTACTTTATTTTTATCTACAATCAAATGACATTAAAAAGACAAAACCATAAGGGGAAAAAAAAAAAAAACTTTTATAAATGCTTCCCAGATTGATACAATTCTTTAAAATCCTTTGCTCAGCAGAACAACATATTTGGATGAAAAAAAGATTTTCAAATTGGAAAAGGTTTTGGTTATAGAGAGCATGAAATTTGGAACAGCAATCTGACAATATTTTGTAAAGAAATTCATAGTTGTCATTGAAATTTAGAAATCCATTCAATAAAAACGTTAAAATAATTGAAAAAGCTTTTTTCTGCAGCAATAGTTACATCTTTGTTTTTATTCACCTTGGCCCACTAGACAAAATCATTTCTAATCTGTTATACCTCCTTCAAAAATTGCCAAACTCAGTTTTAAAAAAAATCAATATTTTTTTTTTTGTCTCCCCCTACTGTCTCTTTTCCCCAACATTACATCAGAAGAGATTACTTTAAAAAAAAAAAAAAAAAAAAAAAAAAAAAATAGTGATATTAAAAAGAATTTTTTAAAAAATAATTGACAACCTTGATATAAAAATCTGTTCAACCATTTTTTTTTTTTTTTTTGGTTAATTATTAAGGTTCATATATTTTATAAAACACTAAAAATAAATGGCTGTTTCTAACTGTAGATAAAATTAACTTCTTTAATCAAACAAGTAAAAACAAACCAAAAAATAAATTCTAGTATATAATTTTTGTAAATTCTTGAGGCAAGAAATAGTTATTATATGCTGATATACAGTAACTAGTCTCCTGGTCTTGGTTGCTACAGTACTTTGACTGTTGTATCATCCATCCTTCTTTAGGTGCTGGTCATCATTTTTAACCTGAGAATAAAGGATTCTGTTTGAAATACCCAAAAATTTATCAG